TGCACCTGGCTAATTATTAACCACCAAGCGTCCCCTTGGTGGCAGAATACTGAGTCAGGATGCAGTGGAGGGTCGAGCACAGGATACGGATAGGAAGGAGAAGGATAGAAATGTGGACCCAGGAAGAGTCAACACCAACCCACCAAGGATGAGGATGGCAGAGGATGAGGGGATGCAGTCAGCAGGGTGTGGGATGTTAGCAAGCATTGGCTTGAGGATATGGAAAGGGGGTGTAGGATGTATCCAACTGGCAGGATGCATGTTCATGCATCCTGCCAAGACTTCCCAAGAATGCAAGGATGGGCCGCCAATTTGACACCCTCCATCAGTGTACACTGATGTATATGCAGTGCAGCCCACTAGATATTCATGGTGATTGATAGGGGATTTAATTATTGGCTACATCGATGTAGCCATCGATGTAGCCATAGATATCTATGAATTCATGAAAACTATCAACATGCATATGTGTCTGGGTCTAGACCTTCGATCTAATAATGCGAGTTCGAACTCGCTAATCCATCTAACAGGTCTAAACCTGTTAGATCTCGCATTATTAGATCTAAGGTCTAGACCCAGACACATGTTGATAGTTTTCATGAAATTTCATGGTATGTTCACTGTTTCACAATCACTGTGATATATTACCTATCCGGGAACTATAAGAGCTCCATCAGGCATTCATTACAGAATGTTTTCATGGTTGATGCATTCTTAATGCATACTTATATGACATACTTACATAAAACCGCTTAATACCAGTGTAAGAATGTTTAAGAATGCACACCCGCCTCCTCCATGTTCTTCCGTCGTTCTTATCGTTCTTAAGCATTCTCCTAAGTTTCTTAACCCCCCTCCGTGTTTGTAGGGTTTCTGTAGCAGTTGTACTCGTGATGTAACAGCATGACTCCCAGCCCTTCTCCGAGTAAATAAATAACAACGAACACACGTGCGTACGTATGAGTGCTTTTGAAATGCAACGTCCATCACCACCACCCATGAACACACACATATGTATGCCACGCATGTATGTATGTATGTGCATGTCGCCGCCCAGGAACTTCATACGCACGTGTACATAAAGTCCGAAATTTTGGGAGAACATGTGGTAGAGGAATCGTATTTGTTGCAGAGGTTGAAGGGGAACTGGAGCCAGGTCGTCCGGTTGCTGAGCAGGAGGTAGGGATATGTCGCAGGGTCGTTCCGCACCCCCTGCACAACATGTACATACACATGCATGCATGCGTGTTCAAATGCAATTTGAAGTCTTTATTAGCCTTGAAAACACATTAGCAATTCTAGAAGAAGCAGTCGCATCTAAAATTAAGGAAACAAAAACAAACTACCAGCAGCGGGGTCAGGGGTGTCCATCGGTGCCGGTAGTGTTCCGAGTTGGCCAATTGCCAACG